TATATTTGTTTACAGAAATATTTAATACGTAGTTTCTATTCTGGCCAAAAAATCACTCACAAGTTGACACGACAGTGCAATTACCGCCATACATTCTTTCAAAACACGAACTCCTAATGTATTCACGTCGTTATCTTTGCCAACAACATTTACCTTAGTCAGCTCATTAATTTCCGTGAACAAACTTATACCGTCAACACTTATTGTTATGAAATAATGGATTTCAACACTTATAACGATAGGTGTGAATTTCACGAGAAAGAAAGTTTTTGTGTCCTCTTATGTCCATCACGTATATTAACAATAGAAGTGGTAAAACGTTGCTTTTTTATATGTTACCACCTCTGTTTGCTCGATGAGATAGGGAGATAGTTCTGTATGGCTTCACTAATGTCGGCAACATTACTTGTAACGCTAATTTCACATACTCAAAGAGTACTGGAGATCGTTTATTTTATAGAAGAGAGCCACGGGCTGAAACGTTCTTCCTGGCCGAAATGTCTGGGGCCGAAACATCTGGGACTGAAATGTCCGGAGCCAAAACGTCCGTCCACTATTCAGAACATAGCAACATATCTGCAGCTATAAACTGCATCTGAACAGGGAAGTAATTTTTACCATAATCTGAATGTGTTCTCATGTGATTGTTCCTTAAAAATATATAATTTAAGTAACATGTTTATATCTAGCTATGTGCACATTATTAATGAAACATTGTACACAAATGAGGGATTTATATTGAACATTCAATAAGACGAGAATGTTTACAATCCAACCAACTGAAAGGAACATCATTGTCACAACATATTGGGAAATGAACCATGGTAGTAGTAAGAATGGCATAAAATGTATAAAAATATATACACATGTATATAATGAAAATTTTACAGAAAAAAAATTATTTTAGCCCTTCCCTTTTTAGCATACATGTATTAAAGTAATATCATCATAAACTTGTAATTGTTTTTTGCTCATTTAACACATGGGCGGGTCCTCTTTCAAATTTGTTCATTTGGTGAAGATATCTCTATTTCTGTGAAAGTTATGAATTTTTTTGTGAATATTTCATTTATTTATTTTTTCCTACTTTCCCATACATTATATAGGGGCCATGTATAATACAAGGGACTGTAATAGATAAGTGTATTATTGATTTCTGAACTACCTGGGTCAACATTTTTCAAAAATGTTTAATTTCAGGTCAAGGTCATTTCAATGTTATAGTAACTGAGATTAAAACTACCTGGATACCCCAGTATTCCCATCAATGATTTCTGCTGCAAAAATGTCTTGTTTCTACCATTACTGATATCAGATTATAGATTACATCTGAAACCTTTGCGTAGCTCTCTTTTAATCTCTATTATATTTCGAGTTTTAAAAAACTTGTCCTGACTGGCCATATCATATTCCATGATCTCCATTTCTTCAAACTGGTAATAATACAATCGGTTTCTTTTATGGTGCAAAACTTTATCAACATCACTCCATCCTAAGTTTCCAACTCACAGTTACAGTGGAGTTCTTTCGGCCACCAGGTCGCTTGTTTCAGTAAGGCCTAAAAGAAAATAGTCAAATTGTTTCCAAAATGTTTGGTGGTGCACAATGTGGCAGTTTGTTGTCAATTTGTTAAGAAAAGACGCTGTGTAGTGGTGAAATAAGTAAAAAAAAGATTGACCCACACTTTTTTTTTAAGTGATGTGCACACTTCTCATGGCATGAACTGCCCTGTGCTAATATGATTGTGACCAGGAAGATAAACTGTAAATATATTAGAATTTATGGTTTTACCAAAGGTATCAGATGCTGTACATAAATATCACATACTCTTTTTTTTTTCTTCTTTTCAAATAGATAATTGGTATATTAATTAATTCTCATATCCAACCATGATGTTAAAAAGTGTAGTGGTGATTGTATTGTCCATTGCGTTGTATGTAGTGACAAGACCAAGACCACCATTGAGTTATGAAAATAAAGAAGGCAACGCACCACAGTTATCAATGCCTATTTACTACAGTCATGTTGGTCTTGCTGTTGTACCTGAGACTGCAGAACAACATTTTGATATGCTACGACGAGTGTTTCTGATGAATGTAAGTCAACAAATTACTGGTAATTGAAATAGGAACATCTTAATTCCTTCTCTCTATCTTCTACAAATGTATGTGCTAGAACATTTTCTTTCTTTTTTCTATTCACACTTGCACCTCGTAGGCATTATGCATGAAGGTCACACATTCTGGCTTTTTGTGTGGTATAATTGTTCCAATAACAGCAAAAAATTTTTTAACAGCACAAAATTTCTACTTGCTCTATCAGCATCACATTTCTATGGTCAAGTCTGTCACAGATCCAAGGATTGGCCACGCACGTGGGAGCACACAATGAATGGTAATGACAATGTGCATACTGCTACAGCTGAATACGGTGCTCACACTCCGATGGCTTGTGGTGTACTGACTTGCCACGTCCACCACACAATTCACATGAATTTCCATAACAAGGCCACCTGCACCACATATGCAACTTCACATTCCCATGGTCATTTATGCGCAAATACCCAAACCAAATACAACACTTGGCTTGGTTAGGCTCGATCCAGGTTCAGGTCAATTGTATTTATAAATTTATCTTACAGTTGCATAGCGGAAAACTAGAATGATTTTCCTACAACAAAGTCATATTTTAATGATTCAGTATATAATATATAACACAATTTTGAGTTTATATGCACTTCTTTGAAAATACAATTCTAACGAAGCAAGTATGTTATTTTATCATAAATTATTCCTCAGTTACAGGTCAAACCATGTGATAGAATGTCTGACTTTTGGGGTCCTTATTTTATTTGCTAAATTAAAGCCTGCAAGATGTGCAAAATTAAACTTGAATTAAAACATACTGCTTAATTGATTGGGCATATAACCAATTAATGTAATCAGATATACTGGTAAATTTGTGTGTATCTTAGACTTAAAGCACATATTTTTCATCGTGATGTAATTGACCATGCATATGTTTAAATTTACTAAATGAATGATATTTCCATACAGTTAAATGAAGAAGGTAAAATCAATTTGCCGCCCCCACCTAAAGTCACACAGTACATACCTCCTGTTTTTCAACCAGTAATTATGCCTGTGTTCCATGCTGTCAAGAGGTTTCTTCCAACTGTTCTACTTTCCTTTTTATCTCGTGACCCTCGCGACCACCACCAAATAGCGGTAATTCACGCTCGTCCTGAGAAAGTTGAGTACAATGAATTGCATTACTATGCATTCAGAGTGGACAGCCTGGAGACTTTACAGAGAATGATGATAATGTTGAAGGAAGAGTCCACAGTGACTAATGTGAGGGCTGTCAATGAGTGTGACCAGTTGGTTTTGTATGTGAATGATGTTAATGGTGACCTTATCAAAGTCTACATGGAAACTGGTAAATTTCTTTGCCATAAGCAATTACCCCTATAATCATTTAAATGTCATTGTTTTTCTTACAAAAATTGGTTGCAATATTTGCCTTGTATTTCTGTATAATTTGTTTATCAATTTGGACCATATGAACTTAATTTCCCATTGTTTACATGTTTTGATATGAAGTAATTCCAAAAAATATGAAAATTTTATAAAAAATATAACAAGCGTTGACTTTGACTCTAAAATCATTATGGCCCATATCACTCTAAATAGCTATAAAAAATCTCATGAAAAATGAAAATAAAAGTACAATTTGAAGACATTGTTTTACTATTAAAATAACAAATTATGTGCACACTTCAATTTTAGAAAACAAATTACCAGATATTAGAGCTGTACATGAGTTGTGTTTTTTTTACATATTGTTTTAACTCAATTTTGAAAGAAATGATAAAACCAGGTAATTGATAAGGTTGTCTATAATTGAATTCAGGTTTCGTGAAACTAATTTTTGCTCAAAAAGATAATATCTAACTGTCTTGATTCTGTTTACATATACATGGGCTGTATTTGCCAACATTTTAGTCTGTGAGTATTTATTTTATTCCAAAAAAGTCATTTTGGTTCAGTACTTGGCAATAATATCAAAACCACAAAGCGTGGCTCACTAAATGCATATAACAATGGACTGAACTTGGCTTTGATCATATTACGAGCAGCTAAAAATGACTGGACATTTCTGAACTTGTTTACACTTTTATTTTTCCCAAGGTTACCATGTTACGGATTTTGTCCAAGTTGCAGTGGACTTAAATAGTAAGAATGTAGAACAGCATGTAAACCAGTTATGTTCAAAGTTGTCAGGATTTCAGACCAAGAGAGCATGGCTGCAGTCGTTAAAGAAACAACATCCACAATTAGAATCCTTGGATAAGCCGTCAAAGTTCTGGGCAGCAAACCACACTAATGATCCGTGGCAGAGAAATATCAGTTTTAGTCACATCAGTGTTAAGGTAAACATAGTTTACACTAGCTTTCAAAAGAAACATCTTTGATTCTGTACAGTCAGCAGATATGATTACACCATAGACAGTATAGTAGTATAATACTGTCTATGGTTACAATGAAATGAGTGACAGAAGTTATTTAAGCAACAACCCGTATACCTCAAGATATTGCACAATTCACAACATATGAGCATGAGCCGCATATATGTGCAATATCAAGTGGTATTCCCAACTTCGGGGAGGGGGGGTTATTGCTATTATATTATACGAGTATATTGACAATCCGATAAAACTAGTAAAAAAAAAAACAGTTTACTTTCATCAACTAAAAGATCATGATTATGGCCCTTGAAAATAAATATTTATAAGAATAGTATGTAGTTGTACGCTAAATGCATACAAAAAATACATGCGCAACACAGTTCAAATTGAATACAAACTAATTTTTATTCCGCATAAAAACGAAACATGTCCATGGTGAATAGAACAGCGTAAACACGAAAATTAGTGTAACAAAAAATGACCTTTCTGACCTTTTACTGACTGCGTCAACGCCATTTGAAATACAGGGTCGTGTACAGTTTGGATCATTAAAACAACGGATTTTCGATGTTTTCATTCCGGTTTTTGTACAATTTGGATTGTAATTTGCCTAGTTGTGAAATAAATCGGTTTTGTGACTCATCATACTACTTGTAACCGTGGATATTTGACGTTCAGCAGTACTTGGTTTGACCAAAGTTTGAGACACGGTGGTGTATCATGTACGGTGACCAGCAAGGCGACCTCATGCAGTTCCAAAATCTGACCTGGATACCTTTGGTATAACCAAAGTTTTGTGACAGTATGACTGACAAGTTTTTCGTTGTTCTGGAGTAAGTTTGATGGTGTAAGATCAGATTCTCACATCGTTTTTATGACATGTACATGATATGCCTTGTCTCAACTTCGGCCGAAAGAAAGACTTTGCATGCCGTCGCTCTAATGCAGTGGTTGGTGTACACTCCGCACAAATCTGCAGCTTTCCTGTAATTTATTTACCCATTGTGGAGAATTACAATACCATATATTGTCGTCAAATTCTGCGTTATCCCGTGTTCTTTGAAACAGATGGCAATTATCTGGGTGCAATTTCACTGCAATTTTGTCTGCTAGAATTCGAACGCCGCTCGGTGGCATACATTTTTGGCTGTGACTCATAGTTTTTTGCATTTTTTTGTCCTTCAATCCCTCAATCTCATCTGAGGTTCGCAAACCATCTCAAAGTCACAACACGGAGAACTCAGCGTTCTGGCATTTGTTAGGCACCTCACGGTGTTGAGGGACGGTGGTTTAGATTTATGTGACGAATGACAATCACTCAATGACCGATGCTCACAACTTGAATCCCACCATTAACAAAAAGCAATATTATGGTATATAATAATTCAGTATTTTTTTCAATATTTTTCCAAAATTCAACCACTATATTTCTCTAAAAATCAAATAATACCAGTTTTATGAATTCCTGTATTAAACCTGTGGTCAATTCATGTTCCAGGGCCACTTGGTTTAGCCGTACATTATCAGCCAATATACCATAAATTGCATATGCAAATTTTGTGTTTGGACCAATCAAATCAATGGATTACACCATCAATATACTGGTATAATATAATTTCATAGGGTTTATTGATGGATTATTCCACAATGTGTTGACACATGATATTATCGTTTCATTCAGCAACAACACAAGTATTTGTTGTCATTTCATAGGGTTTATCATGGTTACTAAAAAAGACGTAATGTAAAAAGGTGTGAATCTGCCTAATCCTTCAAGGATGCATGTTGTGCCGTGTACGCCCTCTATGTCTTGAGATTTCAAGACCAACCATTTTGTTTCTTTCTTGTGTCGATCACTTGATGTCCCGCGAATTTGAAATTTTCAGCTCATTTTCCAATCCATAGAATACCCCTGTTTAGTGCACAAGCTCTACGAAGAACTATACGTACATCGGATGAGTACTCTTTGTGACTGTGATAACATTCAGAATCGAGAATCGTTATTTATCGTTTTCACTGTTGTCCTGAAAGTAAGCTTGGGTCCCGGAAGAAAAAGTGACAAAAATTCTAACCCCTAAGTCATTATTTTAAAATACATTATATTATAAAAAATACTAGCAAATGAATTTTTAGTATACTACTGTGCGTACTTATGACGGTTGTATACAATTCTGGGGCTTATTAGAGTCAATTTTATTGTTGTGCTTTCGCGTCACTGTATCAGCCATTTTGTTCAAAGTCTTTACACTTTTTTTGTAGACGCCGTTGAAAATGTATTCAACATTTTCCACCAGTTTCATAAAATGTCTGTTTTATTGTTCTTGTCTGTCCTTGTTTCAGTTTTTTGGCAAATATTTCATGTTGCAATATCCAGAAATGTATGTGGTATCATGGCTCCTCATTAAAACTTTCGTATATGGCTGAAATATAAACATTTGTATGGTTTCTTTGACATCTTTATTTTTGATTTTTTATTTCAGTTTTCTGCTGATCTTGTTCTTTAGAAACAAAAATGCCATACAAGACTAGCAAATTTGTATTGAGTTTAAACTGAGCGAGAGGTTTTGTCAGGATTCACTGGAACAACTTACACATTAGTAACTTAAAGCATCCACACAGATAAACAATAACATGGCGTGCAGTTGTTGAATGCAATGAGCTCTGGGAAAAATGACGTCATATTTGCATGATTTCCTGTCTACATTTTATGTTAATGATTAGCCTATCTTTATCACAGATTAGTACGTCTTTTGTTTCAATTGTTTACCCGCGACACGCATCCAATGAAAAGAACATGTTTCCTAACCGTCTTTTTTAGTAACCTTGGGTTTATTGAGGAATAATTCGAGAATGCATTGACACATGATATTATAACACCTCATTCAGCAACAAATCAAGTCATTTGTGCACTCTCATATGGTAAAGTATTACAACTAGATCTGTTAATAGTTTGCACTTCCTGGCTTTCGCTGAGCTCCATGCTTAGAATAATTTCTCAGTCAAGATTAATCAAAGTCACTACAAAATGTCATTTGTGGTTACATGCTTGTCATCTCGTGTGGTTTATAAAAACATTTTCAACCCCAATTGAGTTACTTTGCTGCTATTTTGAGAGATTTGAGAATTCCAAGGAAGTTTATTGCCAGAACTAAGCCCTTGAGAAATTATTTCAAATCCACAATAGTTATAAATATGACTGTCGCTATTTTAGTTTTTGTTTAATACATCTGTTTGTCCAAATCAACCTCTTCATGATATGTAATACTTCAAATTGACATGATTTGAAAGTAAATTCAGGCATAGTACGAACACGCAAACACAAGATTCGAACTCACGACCACAACAAAGCACATTACCATTGAAAATAGACACAGACATCAGTCTCTGATACAAACAAGGCAGCATCTTAATGAATGAACCCTCACAGTGACTAGATGCATACAACGACATACATAAAAAGCCAGATATTCACAGTTAGAAGGGGCTACTTAATTAAGTTTTTCCTTTGGGACAACTCGAATGATGTTTACCAGCATTGAGAAACATCTGAGTTCAAATAATGTACGGTAAGTACAGGCCTAGTATAGGCATATAAAAACAAATGCTACAGAAAAGATTTTACAGTACATATAAAATGTTCTGCTAACAATTTGCTGAGAACTTTTTTATGTTCAAATGGTTAAAATACAAACATTCAAAATTTTGAGATAAATAAAAATAATGTTATATCTGAGATAGGTAGGCTAGTATTAAAAGCAGTTTTCACACAAGTACATACATTTGTACCAGTACACCTTCTGGGTTAAGTAATTGCAATCATCATCTCTGACATGACAACAAATGTGTAGGTCTCTTATGATTTTTTTTTGTTCTTCTTTGTGGCAGAGCCAAGACGCATACCACTGTACCTTGTATTTCTATGGGCTCTGTCGGTGCAAACAGCACAAACTCACCTATGAGACTATCCTTAACAACCAAAATATAATATGTTTCACATGTAAGGGTAATCTTGCTACACTGTTAAGGAGAGTCTCAACAACTATCCCAAAGTATTTTTTTTTGCAAGTTTTGAACGGTTGTTTTCATCAGTATGTTTCAAGATTACATGCATTTTATTTTCTAGGTACATAATCTAGATGGTATGGTGAATTTCTACTCAAGAGTTTTGGGACTTATTCCAGTGAAATATGGTTACTATGGCACCCAGAGATTTGTTCATATGATATCTTCAGAATATCGGCCATTTGAGTTCATCGAAGATCGACCAATGTCATTGCTAGATCTGGACTTTCCAGTGTGCAATCAGTTCTCATTTCGAATAAAGTGAGTGTCTGTATAAATTTATTTAAGAGTACAAATTCAAAAATACGCTCAAAATAAATTTCCTTGAACTTTCTCCCTAAGGTGGTACTATGGAGATACCTCGTTCTTGTATTACTTGCATTTTATTACTGTTACTGTTTATTTGTTTGTTATTTACTCATTTATTTATTTACCCTTCATCATCAAGTGTAATACTTAGTATTGTCCATTAGTTTAGAGCTATGTACAAATTTAACTTACTGGTATTACAGAAGTTAGCTAAATTTGATTTATTTCTCTCTTCATTTGAAGTAGATAGAATATGTACAGTGCTAGATTCGCAATCCTAGGCTTAGAGTTCTTGCCAAAAGTGTGTTGTACATTTTCCCTAATTCAATTAATTATTATCGTTTGTTTTTATCAGGAGTTTGAAAGATCTGAGGGAATTTCAACAACATTTATCACAGGAGCCTGTCCATTCTGTCACGCCTATTTCTCATGGTAGCTGTTGGGCTGTCTATTTTTGTGATCCAGAAAACAATCGCATTGAAATCTTTGCAGATGGCGAAAATTATGTAAACCAGCCTGTAAGTTGGAAATATCATTCAAAATGATTGTTGTGGTATTCTGTGTAGATTTATATTCATATTGCTCTCATATTCTACTCCATACATATACACTTTCCTTTTATATTGAAATTCAAATTCACATTCTTTTGATGTTGTTTCTATAATCTCAATTGCCTACATGATTTAAACAGATATCCAACTCATGTTATTTTACTTGCAAATATGCATATAATTTCTCTGTCAGCACAAGATACAAATATTTGATTTAAATACATATATTCCATATTAGGTAATTGAAGACTTTGACCTCAGCAAATCAGATGAGGAGCTGCATGACATTGATGTTGTTACCTGGCAACACCATCCATCATTTCAACCAAATGAAGAATACCATATGAAAATGGCAAAGAAGTTGCATCTCACAGAGAAGACATAGAATTTCATTCATAGCTATTACTTAACAACGAATCATGAATAAATTATAAAATGTTTAGGTATATTTACCTGTAACGCTGGTTCCCAATCTTATGTTAATTTTGTAATTTGGTGTCCAATCACTCATTTATGAGACATTGTAATACCATTACTAACATGTTGGGCTGTTTCCACCAATCAAATCGCAAGATGCCCATGCATTATCAACATATAGATTTGAGAGAATTTGTAAAATGAACATCATCATTTGGAACAGAAATTGGAGAGAATGGAGCTGCTAGAAAATGGTTCTAGTGTTCAAATGGGAGCCAAAGTCATGTATGTTATATATAGTGCCTTTGGACATGCATTACTGTGATTACACCCATGTTAGAATCCGCCATGAGCCTCTATCCCTGTAAAGGCTGCTTCTCATTCGACATCCTATACATTATACATGCAGATAAAGCCATGAATAAAGATTTCACGTCAATTTAATTATGCAAATCAATACACGCACACATTATAATTTACATAAAAATTAAACTTATTTTTCATGAAATATTTCTTTCATTTGTTTCTTGTATTCTAACAAAAAAAATCTGTGACAAAATGTGTGTCCATGGTTATCAATTGCATCTGATGACTAGCGTGCCCATCTACCATAGTATTTGTATCAATTCTAATAATTATGCTATAGTGTTGATGCAATCTGTAAAATATGGTAATTAATGGCATTTACCAACCACTTTTATGAGTATCAAGAGATTCTGAAACGCTGATGTATGTGTGTTCTAAATAAAGAATGAAATGATTCTAGTCTCTTTGTTATCTTTATTGATTTATAGAAAAATTACAAATATTAATTCAAACTCCTGGTGATGTATTTATTCCCACAATCGTGGGGCAGTTTATGATTGTTAAAACCTTCAATTAATCTAAAAAATATCAACCACTTTTGAAACATAATTCTATTTTGCATCAATCAATTTGACTGCTAAATTGGACAAATTGATTTTTGGTCACTAATTAATAAAAACTCCAAACAACCTTTTTATTTTGTCCATTATTTGTTGGGGCGTCCTAGGTTACAACTAATGTGTAATAAATTAAAGCGCGGAGGTCGTCGCACAACGCATGCTCGAATTTCATGTAAACAATGTATTTTACACACGTTGTATACGACGACGACCATCGCCCTTTTAGTTTCCTCTTGTGTTATTTTGAACTGTTTTACGGCCTCTTCTGTGTTGTCTGACTGTTTAGCTTGTGCATACAGGTTCTTCTACACATATTTACCTATCGTCTATCCCCTCATGCTGTTAGGAAATCTCCAGCCAGCATCATGAACAACCAACCATACGCTTGACGCCAACAAGAGGTCCATTGACAGCGACATTCTCCACAAGATATTCTACACAATCGATCTGCTGCATAACGACACCAACTTCATTCTCCATATCTACGACTCTGTCTTTAACTTCACCAACATTCTGTTCAACTCTATTGAGTACAGCTTTCACGCAATCAGCCTTGCCTTTCAAACTGTCCATCTTAGCATTTAAGTTTTTATATTTACATTCCAGTCTTTCGATTTCTTCTTGTACCTCCATCATCTGTGCTGGGGATAAATCTTCTATGTCTTTCAGTAATTCATCCCAATGATTTCCGGTATTGGCGTGTAACTGAAAAATAACAAATCAATGTATTTTACCATCCTTATTTGAATTATCTGGAGTGATACTAGTAGTTCTCATAAAATGCAGTGGATGCGTTTCAACTACACATTACAGCCCGTAATGTTACAGCCAACAGTATTTCTTCTATTACTGTAACAATATTTATTCTAATGAAATAATAGTTTCTAATAGAATCGGGCATAGGCCGCAAATTGCTTTTATTGTACAGTAGATCATAAAATATGACTTATTCTGACCATAGACATACGAACGCGCGTGTGCTACGCGTGTTATATCACAGCGGCTATGCGTTAAAACCGTAGTAACCCTCGAGTTTAACCGCAACCCGAATCCCAATATTTGCATTTTTCTGTACTTTAAACCAGTTGTCCAGCAGTATATGAATATACAGGTATTTTCTTACAAACCTCCACGTTGTCTGTAATTTGTTCCACACTGTCTTCAGTAAGAATTCCATTTTCGTTATAGAGACTGGCCATCTTGGATGGTAGTACAATCTATATTTACCTAGTCAGTACTAGTATTTTCTGTAAAACAACAAAATATTGCTTGTAGGTTATTAAAACAATGTACCCGATTGCTTATTTCAAGTAGAATCAATTCCTGGGTTGCGTAAAAAGATACATATAAGGCGCTTTTCCATCTTACTACCGCATTATTTTAAAGACCTTTGTGCCGGGGATCTGCAATAAGTTAAGCTACAACTAGCTTGAATGAAATTGTGAGATCTCAGTCAGAAACATGAAAACTTCTCTCTAGTTTATATTTTTTTCTTTGGACAGTAAATATTTAAATTTATACCAGCGAATGTTTTTCTTCTAGATTCCCAATATTTTTTTTCCTCAAATTCCAAGTCGTCGATTTATGATGTTTATCCTTCAAATATCATCCTACCAATTCCCGGCAATTTAAATGTATCCAGTATGTTTTTAAAGGGACCTCTTGTCGTGGATATAACAATCTCCCACAGATGGTACTCGATGGGGATGCCGTGCCACCGTGAAAACTGGAGTGGACTGTAACATTTCACTAGTTTATGAAGAAGTTTAGCGGGGGGGGGGGTTATCTCATACACAAAAAATGATACACAAGCTTCCAAACAGGGTTTTCCGTGCCGTGTAAATATCTCTGCTTTCAAGTCAACATTGCGAACAACAGAGTAACATTACTAGTATTTGCGTACCCGGGTTATATACAATTTGACAAATGTACGGTTTCCTGAGAAGTATTAAAAACCATGAAGTAAAACTGTTTATTTTAAGTTGCATCAGATTTCAAGTCCTACTAAGCAGATATTCACAACAGATTACAACATGTTATTTCGCTATTTCAAAATCGTCGCTAATATAGAATAAAGTATATTCTCAAAGTGAGGTTGTTGACCCTTTCACTTTACGAACAATACTAGTAGTTTTAAAATAGTTCATTCTAAGCGATTGTATATAAGGGGATGCGCACAAACTAGTTTGGTGACAGACTCCTTTGGTGAGAAAACTCCCCAATTCTACCAATTACTGTGTACATTTATAACAAAATTATGATGTCCTGGGTTTAGTTGGGTGATCTCTTAGTTTCGTCCCAAACATACTGAACCGACCAAACCTCAATCTCAATTTTGAAGCACTTCTCAAGGGTGACGTCATATGGGGGAGAGATAGAGGAGGCGTGGGCTTGAAGAGCTCTCTGCAGGTTACTTGTTTAGAATATTTGTAGATGAAAACATCTTGTCGAACACGGCCATCTGGTAAATTCTTCCTAGGCCATTACAAATCAAGGTCGAATTTAAACCCCGGACTGAAACATTTTTGTGAAACTTTAAAGATTGTCCGAAAGCTCAAATGTCCCATCAAATCAAGATAATCGTTAAGTATGTTGTACACGTATGTTGAAACGAAAAATGGTTTATGCATCAGTAATACACTTATTTAACACACAGTGCATCAACAATTTAAAGCCAAACGATCGGACATAAATGTAAACCACACGTATAAAGATATGATAAAATAACATCAAATAATGTACCACTACTTAGTTATAAGTTGGGATTTTAAAGAATTACTGTTGTCTAATTACATTCACATTCGTAAACTTCGGTGATTAATGACCGCGCATGCGCATGAAGGTATTTTTGCTCACTTGGGCAAAATATGCCCTAGACTACTAACAATGGATGCGCATTTCAGAATTTTTGCAAGAAAGGACACAAATATAGGACCATCCTGGCAATTACAAAGTTACCTTCAATATATTGTCGTATACATCCTCAGAAAGGGGGTCATGGTCGATGCCCATCGTCTTGGATTATCTTACATCTTGCAACTCTAACCTCCTCGTTAAGAGGGACGCGCCCGTGCCCTATAATACAATATCATAAAGTTAACAGAACACTAGATAGAATAAAGTACAATACCTCTATACAACAGGATCTTCTCGGGATCGTCTATATTACGTCTACTAAGTCTCTAACCATCTCAGGCCAAAATGGCTACCATCTGGATGACTTGAGATATACATTGGTATCAAGTTTCGAAATAGCTCTATATGACATCCTATTAACATAAATAGTTTGTCTGATCGTATACGTCACTCCCCGATTCTATGTTGACGACGTCGGAGGTGGTGAAGATAATCGCAAAATGGAGGAATTTCTAATTTACATAAAAGCAACCAAAACCAATGAATTATGTAGACACGCAGCCTCTCAACTTCATTTGGGGATGCGCCTAGTCGTCATGTCAACTTCCACAAACTCGATCATGATAATTTTGCTTTCAAAATAAATAGCCTGTGTCAACAAACAATACGTATATCTACCGTACAAAGTAAAAATAAATACTTTTTGCCCCGGGCTTCGTCATCACGAAAATATCATAAGATAAAATAATGCTAGTAAGATGAAACACCAATCGTGTTGACTCACGTAGTTATATATGATATGATATTTTATTTAAAACGTACACAAACAAATAAGGTTATGCCCAAACAAGCGAAATATATCACTGCAATACTGGAACAGATCTAAAATACAAAAAAAAAAAAAAAAAAAAAAAAGCAAAATTGGAAAAGACAAACTTGTAACTGGAGAGATTTTCGATGAATAGATCACCATTACTGACTTTTTGAAAAAATGGATTGTCAAAGCAATCCTGTGTTTTTTTATTCAGTGTAACGCCATCTAAATATTTAAAAAAAACAACATATTTATCATTCTTAATTTCTTTGTAGAAGTCATTTTTTTTGTCTTGTAAATATATGAATATATATCAAATATATGAATTGCAACCGTGATTTCAAAGAATCTCGTGATAAAACACGTGTTTTTCATTTACTATTTATGATTTTTCACAAACAGGGCATTTTGTGTGTGTTTGTTTCCAAATGAGCAGACATTGCCCTGGAGACAGCGGTCTTCGTTATACTAGTATTAAACCTTGCTACTTTGTGATTGTGTTCTTGGTGAAACATTTCTTCTAGACTTTTTTTAAATAGAAAATATTAAAAAATAATGGCCGGGTTACCGCGGTAATCCAGTTTTCGACATTTATAGACTCGTACAACTAGTAATTAAAAAAAAAACACCAAAAACAAACCTACATTTATTCATATTTTGAGCGCGATATATGTTATTATATGAGTAGTATGAGAATGTACCGGCGACTGACTAACTATGCCGATCCCACTTTAGGTCAATTTTATTATCCAGGAAACGTTCCGAGCGCCTGTGGGTAAAATATGGCAACTCGCATAGGATGGAACTGTAGGTCCATGGTTTCGCGTTAACACCACGACGAACGAAATAACCGATAGCGAAACCAAGTGAGCCACACACTGCAGCTACCTCAGGCCATGGAAGGTATTAACGGACCTTCCATGATCAGGCGGCGTGCGTATGCAGCGATCTTCCACCGCCCAATGAGGGCGCTTTCCTAATTATCGCATGATTTTAAATGCAAGATGGGCATTGAATGTATATCTATGTTACAACAAAAACTCGCTAATACGAGTACATAATCTGTGTACGAAAAATTACATCTTTAAATACAAGAAATTATTTTTAATATGCCTGTAGAATGAATAGATATCAACATTTCAAATAAACTACTCGTGTTCTCCCTAGTGGTCTAGTGGTTAGGATATGTGGCTTTCACCCACAGGGCCCGGGTTCGATTCCCGGCTAGGGAACCATGATTTTATTTTCTAGTCGTTTAATTGTCAATTTTATTCTTCTGTACATTTACCGTTTTAGTACTTTACTCGTTTTTTATGATTTTTTTACCGACTGTTTTTAATATCTTCCAGACGAATGCGTCAGCACCCCCGAAACAATGCAATAAAAGACGTTATGCCCTGAGGGTGCTGATTAAGTTATATGCCTATTTTTTTAATATTAGATAGAGATAATTTTGAGAATTGTATTTTGGGCCTTTGTTATCTTCCCAATCTTATGTGCAAATGACAAGAGCGAGTACTGACACATGGTGCTTTTTTTGCTACAGAAGCCATATTCATGTTTGGGACTACATGACGGGAGGGGTTCTTTCTTGCAAAATGGGTAGCAGTGTCGTCCAATTATTTTTCACCCCACCCACTCCCAGATCACTGTTTTTGGCAATACCTCCCCACTTCCAGCTCAACATGTTATACTGATTTCAGCACTGCTGAACGCATGCGCAGTGCCTCACTGTGTTGTCATACAGTATATAGAACAGGTCAGAGTTCAAAATAAGGTGATACCCTGCATTCACGGCTCGGGGTCCGACTTAAAGAATGATCTGATACGCATGTCTGTGAAAGAAAACGCGTTAAAAGGGTGTTTTTTAGTCCCTGTTCGGACGTAGTCCGAAAACGGGGACTTATGTTTTGCCCTGTGTGCGTCCGTGCGTCCGTGCGTCCGTTCGTGCGTCCGTGATCACCTGTATCTCGAACATGCATGGACCGATTAAGTTCAAACTTCACTCATACATCACACATTAAATGGGACATATGCACATACATTTTTTTCATGATCCGATTAATGATAGCCGAATAGT